CTCAGACTCATCGAATCTGACCTTCTTCTTGACCACGTTCGATGCAACCTTATGGAACGTCTCTTCGTCATCGCTCCAATCATGGATAAGTGCAGGAGTAGCCTTTGAGCCTGGTGCTTCGGTGTTCGGAGCAGTATTGAATAGATGAGGATCGTGGCGTTTGTTGCATTTGTCTCCATACCGACATTTGCCCTTAGCCCAATGCCAGCATGGTTCGTCAACCTTCTTGGTCTTGTTTGCCGGGGATTGACTTCTTGGAGTTCCTGGCTTCCGACCATTCCCTTTTGCGTTCTTGTTCGCATCGAACACCTTTTGATCATGACTATACTCACAATCTTTGCCTTTCCTGCATGATTTCTTGATGAAATGGAAATGGCATGGGATCTTCTTCTTGGATCTGGGGCTGGTACTTCGGCTGTTTGCTCGATCCTTTCCTTTCCCTTGACCTTTTCCTTTCCCTTTTGCATGCTGTTTAGGCTGAGGTGATGGTAGAACTGGAGCTGCATCGGCCTTGGCCTTCGCCTTGGGTGCTGCCTTCTCCTTGGGAGTAGCTTTAGGCTTCGCTTTTGGATTTGCATCTGGTGCAGCAGCAGTTGGATTTGGGGCAGGAGCTGAAGGTTTGCCGCCACCTGCAAAGTCTCTTGCGTACTTCTCTCTAGCGGCCACATGCTTGTCCTCTCTGATTCTGGAGATGTGTCTTTCGATGACGTCCAATAGATAGCGATAGTTTCGTCTTTGATCTCCTTCAATCCATGACTCGTACTGCTTGATGTCAAACATCATAAGACTCGAATTTCGAATCTTCTTGTATAGAGCATCACGAAGCCAATCATCAGGAGGTACATCATCCGGCATCATGTTTGATACCATCTCCATCCATTTCTCGTAGAACACTTCCAGGTTTGAGTCACCGAGATATTTCATCGATACGATGTGCTCCATGGTGAAGGCTGTCTCTCGTTGACCTGGAGTTCTGAAGTGCTCCAGGATCATAGCCAAGATTTCCCGTCCCATGACATAGGTTCCTCTTCGACTATGACTTTGTGTTCTCAATCTCAATTTGATCGCTACATGACGAGCAACGTCGCCGGCTTGGGCTATCACATTTGACAATGCAATTGACAACTTGGCGTCGATTGACTGATAGCGTTGCCCTCCACTGTCATTTAATAGCTCGATGTCAGGATTTGGTCGAATAGCCGGCTGTAGCCATGCTTCCCATGCGGCTTTGTCTCCATCATTTGCAGAAAGAACAACACTCTTGATGAGATCTGATTGCCAAACCCCAAGATTCTGTTGCTTCGGCCATGGGCTAACATAGACCTTGTCAGCCTCCCGTCTTGACATTCTCGGCACTTCTTCTGCAGTGTAAGCCGCTGTGGAGACATCATCTGCTGAATCGCGTTGTGACCCTCGAACTGAAGGCAAGCCTGGAGGTTCAGGAGGTGGTCCTGGACCGTTAGGCCCGAAAGGGTCAGGAGGTCCATCAGGGTCAGGCGGACCGCCCCATCCACTCGGTGGCTTGTAGTAGTCCCTCTCAGTTCCATCAGCGATCTTGTTGTCCACCTCTTTCAGCAGATCAGTGATTCTTTTGCTTGATTGAGAAGGTTGTCGTTGAGGAGGTACAGCATGTTCACGATAGGAATGAGCCACATTTGTCTCATAGTTCAACTCCTTGTCGATCTGCGAAACTCAAGACTTCAGAATAGCGTTTTCACAGTTAGCCTCACTCACGTCATTCTCCAGTTTGTCGATGACTAGTCTTGATGCGAGATCGTAGTTGGGAATGCCTGCCGAATAGGGAAGAGTGTCAGGGCTGACCCTAGATATAGATGTTTCAGAATCCTTGAGACTCTTTCTCAGTTCATCCAAGTGACGTTTCATGTCAACAATCTCAGAATTCTTGATACCGATCTTTTCATCCCTATCCTGGATTTCCCCCATGAACATACATGATCTCTCATACTGTTGAACACCACTAGCCAACTTCATTTTGCGCTCACTCTCTAGTTCAGATTTTAGAGTTTGGACCTCAGCATTGGTGAGGGACGACGCCCCTACATCCGCAACTTCAGCCAATCTCTCTTTTAACAATATGTTCTCCTGTAAACATTCATGAACTTCATGATCTAGGTCCTGAACCCTGATTTGAGCGATTTTGGCTTGATTACGTAGATCTTCAACAAGCATCTCATCGGGGCCACGACCGTCGGTCGTAGTACCCTGAGTCAGCGATCTTCGCAACTTCGTGTTCTGCAACTTGATCTCATCCTTTAATTCGCAGTTCATTTCCTGCTCGTTAGCATAGAGCTCTTCATAGTGCTCTGCCCTTGCGATCGAGTTTGCACTAGCCTGTGATTCAAGCCTCAGGTGTGATATTGCTTCGGCCTCTTGGTTCCTGTATGATGCAATTCTTCTGACGGTATCATGTTCAGTGTTTCGATGCTTCAGATCACTTTCCAATTTGGCCTGATTTGCCTCGAAAACCTTCTTCCTAGATTCTCTAGTGATCTCGTCAATACTGCTTTCATACAGCTCGGCCTGTTTACGAGACTGAACCAAAGCTTCACTCAATAGTTGATTCCGTTCGGATAATTCATGAACTGCAACTGATTGTTGTTGGCTAATCACTTCGAGTTGGTTGCTAGAGAAGGATGCTATTTCGGATCGATTACGATATTCCATGATTGAGTTCTGGAAGTCTGTCTGCATTTCTTGACCTTCATTGTATAGTCGATTGGCAATATCGGTGGTTAAGACATTGGTTTGATGAAGTTGTTGCAGTCTTGCCTCCGTATTACCCAATAGTCCTTGAAGGTGATGTACTTCATCCTTGTACTCCTCCTGGATTTCCATACCACGTTGATGGATACGTCGTGCACCATGTTCCATTAGGGCACCTCGGCGTTCAAGGTCTTGGATGCGTATTGTTGCACCTTCGTCTTCCTGAGATGCTACCATTAGTTCTGCTTGATATTCTGCAACCTCATTTGCGGAACATGACAATCTATGATTGAGTGCACTGACCTCATCAAATACATTTTGGTTGTGTTCCTGAAGATACTCAGTGAATCTGATCTCGATGTCATGAATCAGTTGATCTCTAGATGCAGCGTATGCTTCCATGTGGTTCAACTGATTACGTAGGGATTGACATTGTGCCCGTAGTTCTTCTATCATGGCAATAGGTTCACTAGCCACAGAAGTATCCGTTGATCTCCTCTTAACACGACTATCCCCGGTCCTCTCACCAATTCGGTCGGTCACGGCCCTGGTGGATCTGTCCCTTGGAGTAGTTCGTCCTCGAGATGGTCGATGCCCTTGGCGGACAACATCACTTCGAGCACTGTTTCGAGAAGATCTTGGTGTACTTTGAGTTGATATCCTTCGTCTGTTTGACGTGACTTGCCATCCGGACTGTGTAGTTCGGGTAGAGCGTATCCCACCACTGTCTGCCGTGTCACCAGGGGAAGATTGATTGATCTCCTCGACCGGCATGGCAGTGTTCTCATTGAAGGTAAACTGCGTGGTGCGCGAATCTCCGCTTCCGCCTTGCATCTTTGCGATGATGAGCTGATTGGTCCTTTGCGTCCTCAATCAATTGCTCAGAAGGCCCGGCTACCAGCACGCAGGTACCACTCTCCCGGCGGGAGAAGTGAGCCCTACGGCTGATAACCTGTGAGCAAATGGATCCTTGTCCTGGATGTTATCTCAGACCTGTAGTACCCTTGCTACTGGTAGCCGACAAATGCCATGCGGATTAACACGACGCGTCCCTTTTCTCCATACGCTTGAGCCAATGTTTGGCGGTCACAGCATGTTGTTTTAACACTGCATGCTGTACATGTTGTTTCATCTCGTTCCCTTTAACAATATATATAACAATATATATATATATACATACATATCATTATATATATCATTGTAAATCGTTATATATCATGGTAAAATCATTTTCGATAGTATATATATAATCATCTCTTATGTGTTATTCATGTGGACATGAAAATGAATTCAAACCACCGATGCGAAAATGAAGTGATCAACAAGAGCCCTGGGATCTTTTCCAGAAAAGTAACCAAAAACAAAAAACATGAAAACGGCGATGTGGTGATGGATATGTCCTTATTGATTTGTCTCAGACTTGTTTGTTCATGGCTCGGTCGAATTGGGACATCCACCATTTGGTCTTTGCAGATCTCAAATCCACAAAGAAACCGCAGTCTCAAGGTTACATCCGCACATGTTTGTTCAACTTTTCGCGCGGTGAAAAAGTGTGACCGGTGCAGGTCAAACAACCCCCAAGAAATGTTGGTCGATTGCCCAACTTGGCATTTTTCCATTGGCGTAATGGTGAAATGTTGGTCGATTGCCCAACTTGGCATTTTTCCCCAAACACCCAAACATCAAAATGTCCTGCTGTTCGATTTTGGAAGAAACTGGGGTATTGATCAAACTTGGGCTCCCCAAGTTAGGGCCTGGTAAAAACATGTCAAAACTACAAACATGTTTGGTGGATGTGGCCTGCATGTCTGCGTGCAGCACCATCATTTTCTCAAAGCAATGCTGTGCCACACCCATCCCCCAGAATTTTGCTGGCGAGGGCCGGGGTGTCCTTTTCAAGCTTCAGGTCCATCAATTTGATCCATGAGGGGTTCTGGGAGGTTTCAGCAGTTCCAGTGCCAGTTGCAGTCTGGGTTCCAGGGTGGTTCTGGATGCTTCCAGATGTTCCGGTGAGATGTTGTATATCCTCTGATGCAATGTGTATACATTCAACCGCAAAATGACGAGCTGTTCACTGGCTGCCATCGGGCTGATTTCACGGTCCACAACTCCCCAAGTGTTTTTTTTAATGGTCAAAAGAAAGAATCCCTCATTTGGGTCAAAAGCCTGGTACCTCTGTAGCTGACACCAAAATAGCTAGTATAGCTGGACACCGAAAATGGTCCAATGGGTATTGACTCATTCCCATTTTTGTGTGTTCCTCCCCAAGGGCGCACCTTTGCAACCTTTGCACCAGTTTCTTCTTGTTCCACTTCTTCTTGTCTCTCCACATCTTGGCAGATGGTGGCGAGGTCAGGCTCGGAGGTACGACACAGGATGATTCGGGACATTAAAGAAATCAGTAAACTTGTGAAACTGTTGAAGAAATCCATCAACGAGAAAACTTGGGGTTAAACACGCTGTTTCATAGCTGAAAATGTGTAGAGAAAACATTGAAGAACAATATGAAAAAGTCTAAGGTGTTGGGACGGGATTTTTTCTTTGAGGGGCTAGACGTGGATGAGCCACTGACAACAGGGGTCCAAATCATGATAGGAAGGGTTCAAAACTTATGATACCATCTCGAAGGGGAGAGACATCCATCTGTATTTTTATGTGCACCCGGAAAAGGATTTTGATGGAGACTTGACCATTTGTCCTTCAAGGCATATATCGTACTGAAGGGCGGAATATTGAAAATGGAAGCTGATGGGAGTAGCTTAAAATGACCAAAAAAAGCCTGTACATTGTAATGGACATGGTCCCCCCTGTTCGGTATCTGCGGTTCCCAGCGTCCTCTATTTTGACCCACACGCGGATGATGGTACATTCATATATCGATTTGACTAGAAATTTGGGAATTGATAGAATCCGAGATTGAGAGTACACAATACATACAGTTCTATTGAGAATATACAATACATACATACAGTATAAAATAGAAAAATACCTCCTGAGAACAGCAATACATACAGTTCAATTCTGGAACTCTGAGAGATTGGTAGAAAAAGACCCCGTGAGCATCCGTAGTGACCCGGTGAAGTGACCATAATTTGGATGCAGCCCCGGCACCAATCAATCACACAATATGGTTTCTTCCAAAAGAAACATTTGTCATCAATATTTACTTATTATTAATATATTATTAATATAGTGTTAATCAGCAATCAATCAGCACCGGGCTTTAGAACTTGAGTAGGGATTGTGCAATTTTTTGAGACAGACCCGCTAAGGGCGAGATCCCGCATACTGAAACATGTGCATTGACCTTCCATTGCTGCCCTCAGTTGATTTTTTCAATAGGAACCTCCCAAGCACTTACAAATTGCGCGTGATTTCCAGAGCAAGGGACCATCAGTTCAACAGGTCCTGCCACTATATCCTTTTTGTATGCTATATATAGCTTCCACCTGTACAGCAGGCCCTCCCTCGTTGGTAGGTGCAGCATGCATCTATAGTACTATTCATACATATATATATATATGCACAGTGTGTATTGTCTACATATATTTACATACTTGGGTGAATACATGTGTATATGTACGTGTTTATATATATATATGTCTATGTATGTGTATATATATACTATGACGTATCTGCATACACAAATAGAGAGACAAACAGATAGAATATAGAGAGAGAGAGGGAGAGCAATGAAAGACATATACTATAGATATACACACATCATAAATGTCTAGATATAAATATAGATATAGGTATCGTATATATATATATATACATGTCATCACTACATATCATCAATATACACAATATGCATACATATATACACACCTAATTGATCCTAATTGTATGGGTTTGTACAAGGTTGTGCCCCCCAGTTATAAGTTGGTTTATAAACCCCATGAATACTATAGATAGTTCACCCCCTAATCAACCCAACAGTTATTGGACTTATTGGCACCAACTTAGCTAACGAACTGGGGCACCACCTTGCAGAATATGTTGAATGGATCATGTACCCATGGACCTGGTTAGCCCCAGTTATAATATTATACATATATATATATATACACACCCAATTGATCCTAATTGTATGGCTTTGTATGTCTGAAAATAGGGCACCAAAAAAAAAAACGATGGATGATCAGCACCGAGGATCCACTGCGGACGTTGGTCACCAGCTGCACCTCGGCCCATGGGATCCGAGTCGAAAAAGGGGGCCCAGGGCGGGAGTAGCCGGTCCGTTTGAAACGGAGGGATGTTACCCAGCAAAAATGGGGTTTACCCGGGATTTGACCAACACAAAACAAGGGTTACCCGGCTTACCCTCTGCTAATATATATCTAATATATTCTAATATGTTACATGGCTGGAAAAAAAAAAAAACTAAGATTCATGGGAACATATGGAAATACATGGAATAATAATCGAACTAATTCAGGATTGCCTCGATGGTACCCCAACGCACCCTGCAGCAAACTGGAATGCCTATGGATTTCACGGTGCGGATTCAACTAGAAAATGCCATGGCTTCAACTGTTCAACCGGATTTCAAAGCCTCAGCAGCCAACAGCAATTTGGGATATGAACCACCAACAAGAATTGAACAAAAGTCCCATTCATGGTTTGGGCACATGCAATGTGGGGATAAGGACGAAAAAAAAGGATGATGGTGTCAGCCCATAAATACGGGCGCACAAAAGGCATATTGATCCAACAAGACTTGGGAAAAACTCTCATAAACTATCCACTGGTGATTCAGCCGCCCATCCCAACAAGCTAAGTCGACAGGGCATATCATCCCTGAGAATTCATCCAGCTTGAAAGCTTTGTGACCAGGCCCCTGAAGAAACGCCCACGTTTTGGCATCGCCCAACAATGGGATCTCCCAGGAGTTCCAACATATATTGCAACGATAGCTAGCAACGATGCATCTATATTAGGCGTTTCTAGACTATAGCTGATAATAGGTGCAGTGATTTTAGCCATATTCCTCCTAAAATCACGGATGAAATCCATCTGAAAATAGGCTAAAATCGGCTACCCAGCGAAACCTCATGGATCATCCCGACAGATCCAATGTTCCTTTCACCGGTGAAAACCCACCATTTTTGTCAGTAAAACCCTCCCATATTTCTGACGCGAAAAAACCCTTTTTTTCTGGGCAACCCACATATTTCTGACGCTTAACTCCAATTTTGTCGCTGCTTGAATCTCTCCTCTCTTCCCAGTTGCAGCCAATCCCAATAAAACGGTGTTCAATTCCTCCTTTACAATGGTTAAACACGGCTAAACCCTCATTTGTTTCATGTGAAAATCCCATGTTTCATGGAAAAAACAACCTTTTTGACGGGAAAATCTTCATGTTTCATGGGAGAACCTCCGTTTTTCCACCGGAAAATTCCCAGGTGTTTCCATGTTTTTCCCATGGGCAGATCTCCCCAGATGTCGACAGACGCCGAGGCGCTCGATCCACCGCAGCCTTGATGCTCTTCAACTTCCGCCGGGCCTTGGGTAACTTGGTCCTGGTGGTTGTATATATAGTAAGAACCTTGGTTATAGTAAGGATATGATCAAATGATGGCTTATGTAGTTCAAGTAAGTAATGATGGTTTTACTCAGTTTCATATATGTAGTTAAATGATGGTGGGTAAAATATATGATCTAATTTTGTTATAGTAAGGATATGTTATATGATGTTATATGTTAATCTAATAGCTATATGGGTATATGGTAGTTAATATGGTAGTTAATTTGTTGCCATCAGCATAATGACATAGCATTTATGAGTTCTGAATCTAACTTGGGAGCAAAACCTCACTTGCTAGTCATCTAAGTTGCTAGTCATATTTAATGGCAAGATAGTCAATCCACAATGTATATATATATATAACTATAATATGTATATGGTATGAAGCAATGGTTGGTATCAATTTAATTTGGTATTGATCTAACTGACCTAAAACTTTTAGCTGATCTTCAGAACCATTCAACAAACCATCCACCACAGTTCTGGAACTAAGAAAAATATAGAAACATAAGAAAAACATCAAGTTGGGTGGATCATGTTGGCTTGTTTTTTCTTTAAAAAAATGGAACTAGACCCGAAATTCACCACTGAACCACCCCAAGATCCTTCACCACCTGCCTCGCTGAAGATGCGACGCTTGGCGATGACGTCGCTCATGTTGCGCAATCCGAAGGGATGGAAAGAGTGTATATGTACTTTACATGATGGTGCCCCCCAGTTACAAGTTGGTTTATAAACCCCATTAACTATAATAGTTTAGTTATATCATATCTAAATCTACCATAAACCATAGTTAAGCTACTCATGTGGCAACTTAGCTATCTTGGGGGCCCCATCCTGTATGTGACTGTATAATTATAGTGTATAATTAGTGTGTATCTATGTGTACGTATATGTGGAGGTTAGATGTGTGTGTGTGTACACTTTATTATAGTATAATACGGCATGAGCTGAGCATCCTTTGTATGTAGATGTGTACATTAGGCAAATATCTGGAATGATATGCAATGCATAACATATTCCCAGCATGTCTATATTTTGATGGGAAAAACATGTACGAGCATCGTTTTCTGTTACTTTTTGCCATGAAAGTGGGTCTGCTGCTCATGGTGACAGTTTGTGTGAAATGAGTTGGAAACTGCAACGGGCAGCAGACATGATCATATCCATGTGCATCTGTTGGGCAACCTACATAGCGCAAACCACCTCCTCAAATGCTCACATGAATGACTACTGTTCGTTGTGGTATTTCGAATGTGTTGGAATCAAATGGCACACAAACCCCATTGTAAAAGGCAATGATTTTCTTGAGTCTGTATTGTCTCCAGGATTTGTTTCATTATCTTGGGCCAGCAGCGAACACACAAATATTTGAGCCGCACCATGTCCAGTATCATTGCCCCAATTTGTAAGTAAATAACAAGAATGTTAAGATATGTTAAGATATATAGAGTTGCTGAATTGTTTCCTTGACTAGTTCTGAGAAAATCTAGGCTCCTGTTCTGCACATAAGGGGTCAGCACCAAAGGCCACCAAAACTCTCCTGCAGCTCCGCAACATTTGCACTCGCAATGCAGAACCTAACTTCTGCGTCTGTCATTGGGTGCTGCATTTGACTGCTGCACTCAACACGGGCCCGCAGGCGAGCTCTTTGTTGCCAAAGCTCTTTGGGACTTTGAAGGAGAAGTATGTTCGGTATTTCGTCAATGTGGTAAACCCAATTGTAATCCATCCCCAATACGACAATGTTCCTTGGTGAAAAATGTCAACCATCTCCAAATGGTAGGTCTATTATGGGGTTCTCAAGGCCGGTCTGAATTTGGAGAGTCTGAACCAAAACAGATCTTCAGCCGCCGCTGAATGGGCGACAGAATCCGGCGCGCTCAAACCTGAACCTCAAGACACGGCCGTTTCATCGGGCAAAAATCTTCAGAACGAGGCTTGACCTCCTTCACAGAATGATCTTTGACCCTTATTCGGGGTATTCAAATGTATTCAATATAGGGAGAGTCGGCTTAATCAATAATTATTTCAACTTCGAACCTCCTGGTACCAGTCCTCAAGTTGAGTCAAGCGATCGTGTCTCAAGTCCTGGCTGTCCTAAGGCAGCTTCTGCTCGATGGGCCAATGGGACAAGTTTTCAGCCCACCGGGGTGTCACTGCACATGGCAGGCATTGTCAGGACCTTTAGTCCATCATAGTCCATCTACAGAATCTCATCTCTGTACTCTGTAGATGAATGTAATGCAACTGCACGTACTGTTGCATGCATAAAGAAAAGGATAGAAAAGGAATGATAAACATGATTCACATTGATTCACCACACAAAAAGGCTCACCTAGCCTAGATCCCATAGCAAAGTTTGCATCCCATCGCCCAACGTTTCGCACCAAACGGCACTCGCGAAAAAGGTGTTCCAGGCTTTTGCCTGTCGACCACCTCTGATCGCAAAGCGCCTGTAACCGAAGGAACCGCGGAGCCATCACAAGCCAGGCCGATTCAGGGGTAATCCTTTCAACTCCTTTCACAAGCATTGCACTCATTCTGGGTCGTATGATTCACCTGTTCTGGGCCATACTGTGGATGGAAGAAATCCGAATCACCAGTTGATAGATGATTTATCCCATTATTTATAGGGTTTCAACCATCCAAGGTGGTGCAGGATTTCTTCCATCCACAGTATTTCTATCTCGAAACTGAGTGGGAAGCCAACCTAGCCAATGGGGCCTAGTACCATCATCCCGTCCCGTAAAAATAAACGCCCTCGAACTGAATGGAAGTCTTAGTGGGAAGGAACCTGTGCCAACTCTAAAGTGTGTTGGTTGGAGCTAGGTAAACCCCTCTCTTTGTTGAGATTGAGGTATACAGAACGGTCTTCATGGCTAACAGCTAGCCAGGTTTTTATTCAAACTATACTCACCCGTTGATGGCTGCTAATCAATATGTCATGTCATATCTGTCAATCTATCCAAGAAAGAAAAAAATGCTGAAGACTTGGGAGGAGGAGCCTGACTTGCAATCCAATGTTTATTCGGCCGCTCAGACCACTTTCCCGTTTCTCACCTGGGCAACGCGCGTTTTGATGCGCTTGTTCAAACTGACGCTTTCCATCGTTTGCCCTACAAAGGAGTTAGCAGACACCAGGACATCCGCCGAAAAGTCAGGCATTGAATGGTGTCCTGAACCTCAAACTGCAGGAGTCAATGACGACCACAAATCCCTTAAGTCCGCTACAAGGCTGTTCACGGTCACGTACAACGGGTCGTAATTGCTCCTTGGCCACGGGGGCAAAACAGTTCTGGAGCATTCCAGCAAATCGTCAATGCCTTCAAGTGCTTCAGTTAAAATTGATAGGAAAATGATCTACCAGCCTGATTTTCTTACTTGGCAGTATCACAATATATAGTTGTATACATAATATATATATATATATCATATTATAATATATATATATACTGTATACACATCATTATATATATATATATATCACAATTTCCCAAGTGACTTGTCATGTTGATCTCGGGACTCTCTCTCTCTCTTTCTCTGTCTCTAGATGTTCAAACCCTGGATCATATATCACCAAACCCCAGTGGTGGCAGTGGTGGCTATTGTTGTTGTTCAAAATCACCCTTTAAGGAAACGTGGCGAGGTCCGTCAGACCTCATGCACAAAGAAAAACATGGAAAGTAATGAAGTTTCATTGAAGAAGATTCAGCCAAAGTCCTACCATATCCACCATAATGTGGTTATGGATCAAACCCATAGTACGGTGGTGAAAATCAAAATCATTCGAAATCGCTGATAGCTGTGGATCTTCATCCCACCATCAATACATATTCGATACTACAATCTCATATGTGTCACGGTCAGAATCTGGTATGTGTGGTATTGTCATCCATTGCATCATGGGAACCCAAAAAATAATGGGTAAATGAATCATAATCAATCCCTATGAAAATCGATTGATGACCACCTCCCAATGTGAGTATATGTCTGATCCAACATTTGATCATGGCATGTATGTGGTATCATAGGATTTGACCCATCCCTCCCTATTGGGGGCGTGCAGATCCAGTCACAAGTGGATATATTGCACCATAGGTGTAGGGGCATGTAGAGGCCCACATCCCAGCTTGTGGGGTTAGAATCCCATGCTTATACCATCTTATACCCATGATTCACCACTATTAACCACTATTTATCACTATTGACCATTATGAACCGTGTTATCCACCGTTCTCCCTGTGATTTTACACCCAAGCCACCCCGGCGACATGCCAGGAGTCTTGTTGCCAGAACTTGGAGCACCAACACGCTGGACGGTCCACCGGCCATCCGTTGGATCTTTTGCTGCACAGCACAGAACCAGTGCCTGGCATCCCGCTGATACGGCCACAACCAAAATCCCATCAACATGGCACAACGTGGCGACAATCTTTGAATCCAAGATTTTTGAGATGAATATTCCGTTACCCCAAACAATCATGTATATATATATAACCCACTTCAGCTCAGTATCCTGCAGGTCTAAACATCGGTTTGTTCTGGGTCATAACACCAAGGAACTTCAACCTTTGACTCTGATGACTCTATATAGACATGCGCCTGTCGCACCCGGTATCCAACACAAAGTAGTCTCGAAGGAGAAATGGGATACGGAGAGGAAACCATAGAAAATTAAAACCATCAATCTCGGTGCATTACACTTGAAAAAACATGTCTCAGAATCATTTTGGGGTGAGCTCATTGTGACATCGTCATGTTGAATGTCGCGGTGCCCATGCAGACAGCTGAGCGACCTCCTCATTTCGACCACCTCCACTGGCTGTGTAGCTTTGCAACGTAGCTTTCGTCACACCGTCACGCAGGTGCACCGAGGGGTCCTGCACCAACTGTATCAACCAGAAGTGGGTCAAGATGAAATACCCTCAAGTCAGGTAAATGGCCATTCTTCTATTCTCTACTCATTCACTTTAAGGATGATCAGACAAGATATGAGGGTTTTGACGCATTTCCCAGGTGACTTCTAGCAGAGAAGAAACGGTCAGAAACCTCCCTCAGTCGACGCAGGTCCAACTGCCTGCTTCACCTGGGGACTAAAATAGATGGTTCAAATCTGTTCAATCAACCCATCATCATGACCCATTTGTGATCACTAAAGAGTGTCAAAAATATTCAAAAATATCTGACCTCTTTTTTGGGTACCCATATGAGATCAAATGAGTCTGTCCTTCTTGACTGTTCCAATCCGACAAGGAAATCATTTGCGGAATGTTTGCACATGTTTGCACTACAACTCATCTTGGGGAGAAGGAAGCTACGGCTCTGGAATGATCTGGACGGAGTTGGAGGGTTTACCTCATGAACTCTCACAAGTCTTATGAATCTGTATCAGGATACCGTTTCTCATCTGGCTGGACATACATCAGATTGCAAAATATGTGATGTGCAACCATCTGTCTAGCCCATTTGATTTCGGTGCAGCCACTTCCATTTTTCTATGTGCTTTGCAGCGTTGAGTTCAGAAACAGAAGCAGAACTGTATCTCTACTGCTACTGCTACATCCTTCTATCTTTGTAAATCTTTATAATACTTCTTGCTAGTGGGACTGGGATGTACTCCAGCGAACCATGGATCCTAGCTCCCCCCTTGATCCCTGTGAGCCGTCCTGGAAGACGGCCAAGGTCACCCCTCCCGGCGCGAAGCCGCTTAGCGTGAAGAAGAGGTAACGGACATCCTGGGCCCAGGTTCGATGGAAAACCAACTGCGGGTAACGGACGAAGCTTTGAGTAAATGCAATGACCTCAGTAGATCTCAGTACCCAGCATAGTAACCACCCCAATCGTGCTTAAATGCTTCTGATAGAGAGTCTGAGGATCTGATAGTCTGATGGCCAGTAAGTCGCACACATTTTAGACTAACTTCTCACCAGCCTGTTTGCGGCCTCCTTAGAGTTCAATATTGAAAATTCAGGCCTCAAAGGCCAGTCTGACCTGACACACCTGCTATCCCCGACTATTACACTCCCATCCAGACTCTCAGGCTGCTAGATTTCACACCAGACTCCCAGATTCTCAGCGAGTCTGCGATCTGTTTTTCTGTTATTCTTGCCACAACGACCTCGATGATTCGTTTGGCTGACTCCCGTAGCAATTTCATTCAATTGACAAGTTTATGCAACCGAGTATGGAGCCTCAGTCACATCCTTTCCGTTTCAGCCTAGTTCAAGCAATCCCTTCCCCCTAATATCAAACACTCCCAACTGGTTGAGTATTGGATGTAACCATTTTGGGGGGCACGTATGGTGGAATATGATATCAGGGCCTGTCACGAATCTACTTTTGCCTTTGCAAAGGTCTCGGCTGGACAGGTTGGTTTGAGTCCGAGGTGGTAAGCATCAAGGACCTCCAGCCTACTGTGGATGGAAGAAATCCTGCACCAGTTGGTAGATGTTTTATCCCTTTACATTCCCATTATTTGCTGTGGTTCATAATTACCAATACTTCCCAACTGGTGCAGGATTTCTTCCATCCACAGTAGCTCCATACTGGGATGAAGATACTGAGTGGTTAGTAACGGTGGTACAGTTCTACATGTCTCAGGGCCATCAGCCAGGTGCGAAGTCCACTTGCAGCAAATATTTCTGAAACATATTTCCGAGTGTCGGGGGGAAGTGCTGCAGTGTCGACTGTCAAGCTTTGCTTTGGACTTCGAATTGAGGAATGTCCTGTTGGCAGTCCCATCCTCCATGAAGCATGCTTTTGACGCTACTCCGCTAGTACTGTGCAGGCTGAATCCTCCTCACGGAGAAGCGAACAAAAATACTAAATCTATAGAGTAGAGTAATGATGGAGAAAACTTACCGCGGTTCCAAGTACGGGAGTTTGATCTCGAGAAACAAGGACACAAAGTATCACCTGACCGAGAACAACAAGTTTGGACCATGATTGACAGAGCCTTTCCTTCACACAGGTGAGTTCAATTGCCCTATGACTGCTAATTGCAAGTCTTCCAGTCTTCCAGGAAAATCGCACTGGACTTTCTAAGATGAAGACCTACAAGTGAAACCGAAATCAATGTGGGTCTGGGGTCGCAATTCAACCAAACCGCCAGCCATTGGCCCACTGTTCCTCTGTCCTCCATGCAAAATTCCTGGATAGCTTCTTTGCTGAAAGTCCACAGCTTGCCGGCCATTGCGGTCCAGAACCAAGCAGGACCCGTTCAAGTGGTGCGTGGTGACCTGTCGCCAAATCAACCGACTGTAAAGCCACACCAAACGAAAATGGACAAGAATGACTTAAATTGTGGACATAGATGTGCGTATGTATGTGTATAAAATATGTATGTATGTATGTATGTATGTATGTATGTATGTATGTGTATGTATGTGTATGTATGTGTATGTATGTGTATGTATGTGTATGTGTATGTATATGTATATGTATATGTATATGTATATGTATATGTGTATGTGTATGTATATGTATGTATATGTATGTATATGTACGTATATGTATGTATATGTATGTATATGTATGTATATGTATGTATATGTATGTATATGTATGTATATGTATGTATATGTATGTATATGTATGTATATGTATGTATATGTATGTATATGCATGTATATGTATGTATATGTATGTATATGTATGTATATGTATGTATATGTATGTATATGTATGTATATGCATGTATATGTATGTATATGTATGTATATGTATGTATATGTATGTATAGGTATGTATATGTATGTATATGTATGTATATGTATGTATATGTATGTATATGTATGTATATGTATGTATATGTATGTATATGTATGTATATGTATGTATATGTATGCATATGTATGCATATGTATGCATGCATGCATGCATGTATGTATGTGTGTATATGTATGTATATGTATGTATATGTATGTTTATGTATGCATATGTATGCATATGTATGCATGGATGCATGCAAGTATGTATGTATATGTATGTATATGTATGTATATGTATGTATATGTACGTATATGTATGTATATGTATGTATATGTATGTAAATGTATGTAAATGTATGTAAATGTATGTATATGTATGTATATGTATGTATATGTATGTATATGTATGTATATGTATGTATATGTATGTATATGTATGTATATGTATGTATATGTAGGTATATGTATGTATATGTATGTATATGTATGTATATGTATGTATATGTATGTATATGTATGTATATGTATGTATATGTATGTATGTATGTAAGTATGTATGTAATGTATGTAATGTATGTAATGTATGTAATGTATGTATTGTATGTAATGTATGCAATGTATGTAATTTATGTAATGAATGAAATGTATGTAATGTAATGTATTGTATTGTATTGTACTGTATGTATGTATCTAATGCAATGTAATGTAATGTAATTCAATGTAATGTAATATAATGTAATGTAATGTATGTAAGTAATGTATGTAATGTAATGTAATGTAATGAAATGAAATGAAATGTAATGTAATGTAGTGCAATTATGTATGTATGTATGTATGTAGATACATACATACATAATACATACATACATACAGTACATTACATTACATTACGTTACGTTACGTTACATTACATTACATACATACATACATACATTTCCTTACATTTCCTTACATATCCTTACATTCATTGCATTCCTTACATTCCTTACATGCCTTACATTCCATACATCCATACGTACATACAAACAAACATACTCACATACTTACATACTTACATACTTACATACTTACTTACTTACATACTTACATACATTACATACATTACATACATTACATACATTACATACATTACATACATTACATACATTACATACATTTCATACGTACATACATACATACATGCATACATACATACATACGTACCTTACATTACATTACATTACATTACATACATTACATTACATTACATTTCATTACATTACATACGTTACATTACATACATTACATTACATTACATTACATTATATTTCATTACATTACATTACATTACATACATTACATACATACATACATACATTACCTACATTACATTACATTACATTAAATTACATTACATTACATTAAATACATAAATACATTACATTACATACATTACATGCATTACATACATACATACATTACATTACATACACTACATACATACATACATATACATACATACAGTACAGTACAATACAATACAATACAATAAAATACAATACAATACATTACATACAAACATACATACATACATTCATTCCTTACATTCCTTACAGTCCTTACATTCCTTACATTCTTTACATCCATACATACATTACATTACATTACATCAGTTTACATTACATTACATACATTACATACATACATACATTACATTACATTACATTACATGACATGACATTACATTACATTACATTACAGTACATACATACATACATAACTACATACATACATACACACATACATACACAAAGTACAGTACATTACATTACATTACTTTAAATTACATTACATACACTACATTCATTACATAAATTACATAAATTACATAGATTACATAGATTACATACATTACATACATTACATACATTACATACATTACATACATACATTACATACATTACATACATAACATACATAACATACATAACATACATAACGTACATACATACATTACATTACATACATTACATTACATTACATTACATTTCATTACATTACATACGTTACTTTAAATTACATTACATACACTACATTCATTACATAAATTACATAAATTACATAGATTACATAGATTACATACATTACATACATTACATACATTACATACATTACATACATACATACATACATAACATTACATTACATTACATTACATTACATACATACATACATTACAGTACATTACATTAAATTAAATACATACATACATTACATTACAGTACATACATTACATACATTACATACATTACATACATTACATACATTACATACATTACATACATTACATACATACATACATACATACATACATACATACATACATACATACATAGATACATACATACATACATGCATGCATACATACATACATACATACATTACATACATTACATACATTACATACATTACATACATTACATACATTACATACACTACATACATTACATACATTACATACATTACATACATTACATACATACATACATACATACATTACATTACATTACATTACATTGCATTACATTACATCACATTACATTACATTACATTACATTTCATTACATCACATTACATTACAGTATAGTACATTACATTACAGTACAGTACATTACATACATACATACATACATGAATACATACACACGTGCATACATACATACATACCTAACTACCTACCTACCTACCTACCTACCTGCCTACATAAATACATACATACATACATACATACATTACATTCTCATACATACATTACATTGCATTACGTAACAAAACATAACAAGACATAACCAAACATAACAAAACATAACAAAACATGACAATACATAACAATACATAACAATACATAACAAAGCATAACAATACACAACAATACTTAACAATACAAAACAATACTTAACAATACATAACAATACATAACAATGCATACATACATCACAATAAATAACAATACTTAACAATACATAACAGTACATAACAATACATAGCAATAAATATATTACATTACATTACATTACATTACATCACATTAGATTAGATTACCTGTCATTACATTACATACATACATACATACATACATATATCTGGGCAGAGCCCAGAAATGAGCAGCGATAGGCCTTTCTCCGCTTCATCCAGGCCCACTTCACTAGGCTTCTGGTAGAATAGCAAACATCACAGCTATAACCCATCGTCGGAATCCCTCTGAATACTATTAACTCACCAGTGCAATGTCAACCTGGATTTGTAACTCTGTTGGTTTATTTTGGTGGTGACCCAAACATAAATTCAAATGACCATTGCACTTGCCATTGCTGTGTGGTGACATCTGACCTCCCTTCAGCTGCCTTCCCATTCCTCAGTCTCGTCGGGATCGCCGTCCAAGTAAGATCAAATTTGAGGCTCCTAACAGGGGGCCTTGTAAAGTCAACCTGCTTGGACATCCCATTTAGGTTTGCCTCAAAATAGGGACCTGTACCCCTAAATTTGATGGTTGATCCTCATTTTTGCAACGAAGTGGCCATGTTTGGATCATTTTGTGGGCACGGTATAGGCCATCTTGAGACAAACCAATTTAGGAGGCACTTCGGCATCTCAGTTAAGTTCTTCAAATTTTACCCGCTGGCAAACCCATGAGCTGTGGTAGGATGAGTTAAGACGCCCTGTCTCCGGGTTGATGTAGCTCGCTGTAGATCTGTAGCGTTTTATCAACAGCCATTGGGGCAGGATCAAAAACATATCTTCCAAAGGCATACCAGTAGTACCCGCACGAGGCGGGGAGGAAGTTGCCCTGGCGATATACTATCAGACCTTTCTCATCTATAGAACTTGCATGCGCCGTGCGCCAGCCAGGCCCGTGCATGCGTGCTTTGTGCGAAGCTGTTGCACAGATGTTGTCCAAGAACATGACCTGCGCGCGACCCCGGCGCAATGCAACACCAAGCGAACACTTTCCTCACACTTCACAGCGCATCACACTTCACACTTGCACTTCACACTCCACACTTCATATCACCTAAAATCACGTGAGCTCTTCTCACCTCATCTCAGCGTTACTCATCTCATCCCATCTCTTCTCGCATGGCACATGTCATCTAAGGAAGTTCTTCTCAACTCTCATCTCATCAGAGCACTGATCAACCTTTCTCATCTCCTCGAAGCTCGTCTCAACTCAGCTTAGCTGTTCTGCATGCCAGAAAGCTCCTATTGTCAGAGAGAAGTCTCTTGCACAAAAAAACCATCGGGCGCAGAAAGTTTTTGCACACAGTCACTTGAGACACAGATGCATTTAGACAGAAAAGCCTTTCCGAAATACTTTGTACTACAAAGCTTGGACAAAGCACGTCCCAGTACTACTTTGTACTATAAAGCTCTTGCGCAAAGCACGTCCCAGTACTACTTTGTACTACAAAGCTTGCACAAAGCACGTCCCAGTACTACTTTGTACTACAAAACTTGCACAAAGCACTTCCCAGTACCACTTTGTACTACAAAGCTTGCACACAGAACTTCCCAGTACTACTTTGTACTACAAAGCTTGCACAAAGCACTTCCCAGTACTACCTCGTACTACAAAGCTTGCACAAAGCACTTCCCAGTATTACTTTGTACTACAAAGCTTGCAAAAAGTACTTCCCAGTACTACTTTGTACTTCAAAGCTTGCACAAGGCACTTCCCAGTACTACTTTGTACTACAAAGCTTGCAAAAAGCACTCCCCAGTACTACTTTGTACTACAAAGCTTGCACAAAGCACTTCCCAGTACTACCTTGTACTACAAAGCTTGCACAGAGCACTTCCCAGTACTACTTTGTACTACAAAGCTTGCAAAAAGTACTTCCCAGTACTACTTTGTACTACAAAGCTTGCACAAGGCACTTCCCAGTACTACTTTGTACTACAAAGCTTGCAAAAAGCACTTCCCAGTACTACTTTGTACTACAAAGCTTGCACAAAGAAAGCTTTTACACACAGCAAATTCTTTTGCAGAGAATCTTTTACACACAGCAAGCTTTTACACACAGCAAGCGTTTACACACAGAACACTTATACACAGAGTGCTTTTACACATGGCAATCGTTTACACACTCAGAAGCTTTTACAACTAGGCACGCAAAAGACATTAGTATTACGCGCAACACGAAAGAACTACGCGCACTAGACTGGTCTGCAAAACACAATAGAACTACGCACAACGGCGTCGGAAATTGCAGCTCCACAACCGGATCTCGACGCCAAAGCGAAAAAAGAAGATTTTGAAGCACTTTTTGCAAAGAATATTAAAAGCAAAATTGCGAGCGCCAAAAATTGAGAAAATCTGCTGACAAATCACTGTCGCAGCCTTCATACAGCCACTCCAATACTATTTACGAGATCCAGCTGCAAAAGACAATAGTATTACGCATGCAGCCGCGGCACCAAGCAACCTTGACGCAACCATTACAATGCGATCTGCAGAGGCTGAGCTGCTAAACACAAAAGAACTGCGCGCAACGGCATTGGCAATTGCAGCTCCAAAACCGGATCTCGACGCCAAAGCGAAATTACTTTACTTCGAGTGATCCCCACCATGACATTTATACATTTTGTTACTGGCATATCTTCTGGCATTCTACCTGGCATATCTTCTGTCATATCTTCATGGTGAAAATTACATAGATACCAGCCATTCCCTTTGCAAGCAAGCCATTGCGTTTTTTTTTGTCTGCGACGTTGCTAGCCGGTCTGCCGCTTCACTCCCGAATGTCACCTGGCGTCACCGCTTGCAGTTCAGGCTGCAAAACAAACATGCCAAGACATATTGGAGTTCACCTGCATCACTAGCTAACATAAACATGATGCATATCTTCTGGCACACTTTCTGCCAATCTATGTGGCATATCTTCTAGCATTCGATCTGGCATTCTATCTGACATATCTTCTGGTATTCTATCTGGCAAACATTCTGAACTTTATCTGGAATACCTTGTAGCATTCTATCTGGCATATCAGAACTCATTCTAGCTGGCATATCTTCTGGCATTTTATCTAGCATAGCTTCCGGCATTTTATTTAACATTCTATCTGACGTTCTATCTTGCATATCTTCTGGCATCCTATCTGACATGCTATCTGGCGTTCTATCTGGCGTTCTATCTGGCATATCTTCTGGCATTCTACCTGGCATATCTTCTGGCATATGTTCTGGCATATCTTCTGGCATTCCATCTGGCATTCTATCTGGCATATCTTCTGGCATATTATCTGGCAAAGCTTCTGGCATTCTATCTGGCAAACATTCTGGCACTTTATCTGGCATATCTTCTGACATTCTATCTGACATTTTATCTGGCATTCTATTTGGCATACCTTCTGGCATTCTATCTGGCAAACATTCTGGCACTTTATCTGGCATATCTTCTGGCATTCTATCTGGCATACCTTCTAACATTCTATCTGGCATATCTTCTGGCACTCTATCTGGCATATCTTCTAACATTCTATCTGGCATATCTTCTGGCACTCTATCTGGCACATCTTATGGCATTTTATCTGGCATATCTTCTGGCATTCTATCTGACATTCTATCTGGCATATCTTCTGGCATTCTATCTGGCCGTTGAGGTCCAGCGGTGCGCACTGAGCTGGGAAGGTCCCAGGTTGAGGTCCAGCGGTGCGCACTGAGCTCGGAAGGTCGCAGGTTGAGGTCCAGCGGTGCGCACTGAGCTGGGAAGGTTTCAGGTTGAGGTCCAGCGGTGCGCACTGAGCTGGGAAGGTCCCAAGTTGAGGTCCAGCGGTGCGCACTGAGCTGGGAAGGTCCCAGGTTGAGGTCCAGCAGTGCGCACTGAGCTGGGAAGGTCCCAGGTTGAGGTCCAGCAGTGCGCACTGAGCTGGGAAGGTCCCAGGTTGAGGTCCAGCAGTGCGCACTGAGCTCGGAAGTTGGCGAAGAGCTTGGCGAAGAGTTGGCAAGGCGGAAGTGGAGGTGGAAGTTGATGCAGACATGGTCGAGGAGAAACTGGAGGAGGAGGCGGAGGAGGAGAAGGAGGAGGACAACAGCTCTGATAAAATCTAACAACCCTCACCTGGCAGGTGGGGAAGAAAGAAGATTTCGAAGCACTTTTTAAAAGGACTTTTAAAAGGAAAATTGCGAGCGCCAAAATTGAGAAAATCTGCTGACAAATCACTGTCGCAGCCTTCATACAGCCACTCCAATACTATTTACGAGATCCAGCTGCAAAAGACAATAATATTACGCATGCAGCCGCGGCACCAAGCAACCTTGACGCAGCCACGACAATGCGATCTGCAACCACAGATTCAAGAAACACAAAGAACTATACACACAGGAACAACCACTCGTTGCAGAACACAGAGGACGGAGGAACCCATTACGTCCGGAACGACCCCAGCCGCACCAAGCACTTCCATTTACTACTTTGTACTACAAAGCTTGCACAAAGAAAGCTTTTACACACAGCAAGTTCTTTTGCAGAGAAGCTTTTACACACAACAAGCTTTTACACAGAGAAGCTTTTACACACAGCAAGCTTTTACACACAGCAAGCGTTTACACACAGAACACTTATACACAGAGTGCTTTTACACATGGCAAGCGTTTACACACTCAGAAGCTTTTACACAGAGAAGCTTTTACACATAGCAAGCTTTTACACACAAAATCTTTTACACACAGCAAGCTATTACAAAAAAAAAATTACACAGAGAAGCTTTCTTGTACATAATCACAACAGGAAGTGCAGCTCCACAACCGGATCTCGACGCCAAAGCGAAAAAAGAAGATTTTGAAGCACTTTTTGCAAAGAATTTTAAAAGGAAAATTGCGAGCGCCAAAATTGAGAAAATCTGCTGACAAATCACATCGCAGCCTTGATGCAGCCACTCCAATGCGATTTACGATGTCCAGCTGCAAAAAAACAGTATTACGCATGCAGCCGCGGCACCAAGCAACCTTGACGCAACCATTTCAATGCGACCTGCAGAGACTTGAGTTGCAAAACACAATAGAACTACACACAACGGCGTCAGAAATTGCAGCTCCACAACCGGATCTCGACGCCAAAGCGAAAAAAGAAGATTTTGAAGCACTTTTTACAAAGAATTTTAAAAGGAAAATTGCGAGCCCACGAAATTGAGAAAATCTGCTGACAAATCACTGTTGCAGCCTTCATACAGCCACTCCAATACTATTTACGAGATCCAGCTGCAAAAGACAATAGTATTACGCATGCAGCCGCGGCACCAAGCAACCTTGACGCAACCATTACAATGCGACCTGCAGAGACTGAGTTGCAAAACACAATAGAACTACGCACAACGGCGTCGGAAATTGCAGCTGCACAACCGGATCTCGACGCCAAAGCGAAAAAAGAAGATTTCGAAGCACTTTTTAAAAGGACTTTTAAAAG